CTGTGCTTGGACATATCCAGAACCCCAATAAATAGCCATTTAGTCCAGTCATGCTGTGCCAAAATGCCAGCGGGTTAAGAAGTCAATGACTTAGAGCATGGTCAGTCGTACAAGCTAAAAAGCTACTAAATGTAAGTATACGTACCATAAGATACTATGCGCACATATTTTGGCGCGAATCAGAACAACCGTATTCTCTAGGACGCCTACCTTAGTAGGTACGGACGGACGTAGGCGACTACGGTCAAATGGTCTATTTATAAATGCCTAAATATAGACCACAGACAGGGAGACCAAAACTGACGTGAAAGAGATTTTGTTCTTTGGTAAAGCAATGTTTATCCATTTTAATAAGAATTAGGTACAGAGTCAAGAAGTAAGATAAAATAGGGCGTGAAGTACGAGCAAAGGTATTAGCAATATGTAACATAAACAGCAAAGAATAATATCGAGGAATGGGCGGTGGTGATAGTCAATCGCGTAAATCAGACCGATGACGAGCTCGAGTGCGTGAGGACCTCCGCAGACGCGTGGGCGACGGAGCAGAATCGCGAATGGAGTCAAGATCGGGCGAAACGTTTTCGCTATCATCCTCCAAATTAACGTTTACCAGAGGGGTCGTCAACTGGTCCGGGGAAACAGAGGCGCCGCAACTCATTGGTCCAGAAGAGGAATTATGGTCAGGCGCAGATGCATCTGAGCATGAGGCGACAGAACCACTGATGATATCAGCTGGAGCAGAACCACAAACCACCGACTCCTGCGCCGCCTTCTCTAGTAGAGAGAGCCGAAGGCCAGCGATGCCCTTCGCTTCCAGATCGGCACTGTCCCGCTTGATCCTTCGAGTGCGCCCAGGTCGATCCTTGCGTGCCTAAATGCGGACAAATCAATAGACAAGTATATCGTCTTAAAAAGGTGGTGGTGACAGCGGCGGCGATTAGGATTGTATTTCAGAAAGTGCAAACCACATCTACAGAATGGTTTAGTACGAGAAAGAATCTACTAATACAGGAATTCAGAGGCAAGATTTATAAAATATACCTGGCACATCTGTGTGAAATCCACAATATAGATGTGGCCGGCAATGCAGACTTCACATGATTGTAGAGACTGTGTAAACGCTGCCTCAATTTCGGAGGCCGTTCGGGTGTCGTACCGCCACCAGCCATTACGGCCTTCGTAGTACCACACCATGTCAGAATTCGAGCGGTCAAGGCCTTGGGAGAGAAGTTGGGGGAAACGAAGAACATGAGCGTTATTCGCGAATAAGAAAAAAACAGACTAGCAGGTTACTTTTGATTGATTATTTACCATACTGGTAGTAGCACAGGTACTAGCTGAGAGCCCAGACACGTTTTCGCCGATATTCTGTCGCTGTATGGTACAACTGTGAGGGGTTCGGCTTATTAGTGGGTCGCCCAGCACTACGTAAGTTATACTACTAACTGTCTGATGGCAGCTTCTGAATATTACGCGCTTATTCCACAGTGGCTGATGGATTTCGGCCCAAACATTCATACAAAATTTTGGTCTGTGCCTGTAGACTCTTGAATATACAGATCTGAGGAAAATAAAAAGCCACAATTTGATAAATTATGTCGTTTGTCTGATAAGGTGTGCTACAAAATGTTAGTTAAAGCCTGACAGGGCGAAGGTTCAAATCGATAGAGATTAATGGAGTGATACGATATGGTCAGCTATTACGTAAAAGCAGATATATACTAAAAGGCGTAGTTAGACGGAAAAATACGATAAATTTTCACCTAAACATTTTAACGTCTGTTTAAAAAAGTCGAATTTCTATAGACGAAGCTCCAACTGGTAGAATCAGAGCCAAAAGATCAGCAAAATCGTCGCAATGATCAAGGCATACTACCGTTTCACAACTACGCGGGTTCTGGTCCATAACAATCCTTCAGAACCGTTCGCTATTCGGTCTGGGGTGCGACAAAGCTGTGTCCTTTCGCCCATCCTATTCAACTACGTCATTGAATAAATTCTTTTGAAGGCCATGCGCGAAGAGGACGGTGTTGAGTTTGAACCCGGACGCCGGTTGACTGATCTCGACTACGCCGATGATATCGTTTTACTATCTTCAAGTTTTGGCGATCTACAGTCTGTGGTGTCACGCGTGAACGAGGTCGCTAAATCGGTCGGTTTGTCTATAAATGCTGGGAAGACTAAAGCCTTTTCATGCTGCACCCTTGCTAAAAAGGAGGCCCATCTCGAGATAAATGGTTGCCAACTTGAGGTAGACAGGTTCAAATACCTCTGAGCGAGTTTGCTGCCGAATAGACAGAGTGAGGACAGCAGTGTCTCTCAAATGGACGCAGTCCGTCAAGTTTTTTTAAGCCTTAGACGGTGCGCATGGACTTGACGCGATATTTTAATTGCCACGAAGGTCCGTGTGTACCATGAATACATCCAGTCAGTCCTCTTCTATAGGTTTAAAGGTTGGGCTTTGCGCGTGGAAGGTGAGCGAAGACTAGGGGTTTGACCACCACTGTCTGAGGACCATCCTTCGAGTGAAGTATACCGACTTCATCTCAAATGAGACAG